AATGTTGGTTTTCATGGTGATTGATTCTGTGCAGACCCGGCTGTTTAGTCAATATCACACAGATCAGAAACCGGAGTTTACTCTCTGTGTGTTTTTAATTCAGCCCAGATTAAATACTGTTAATTTTATTTAATCATCTACATAAATTATTTACACTTTCCTAAAACATTATTAACTTCATTTTGTTCTATATCTATAGTTCTACGTTTGACAGAAAGGCCTTTAATAGGCTATTCCTGTGATGACAGGATTAGAGAGATTGAAATCAGACTATAAAAGTAAACGTCTTCCTTTGCTACAGCTAATCCAGATTATCAGCTGGATCCCTGCACTGGAGCAATCCCACCAAACAGCAAACGAACGTTGATAAGATCGGTTTTGTCAAATTCAAATATGGTAACGACAGATCAGCATCTACAAATTAGAGCATAATTCTTATATATTCCAAAAAACTAATAATTTTATACCGAGGGGCTTAAAAGTTTGATCAAATCCAGAGAAACTTCTCATGTCAGGCCTGATGAAGAGAAAAAACAGTTCATATAAAAGCAGTTTTGATGCACATCTGCACTGGCTTTAATTTATTCTTCTTCCATCTGTGCCTGCCGTAGACTAATTCAATGCAAAGTCTTTCACAGGGCTCATTATAACAATTCACGACTAGCAAAAATATATTCCTCTGTAAGTGATGCCTGTGGCAGATGCAAATGTTTTGGTCAGGTCCCGAGTTGAAACTATTCTGGACAGGGATTTTAAATCACTGTCTGAAAGATTTGGTTCTCTGGTTGTCTGCAATCTTTGGCACCCCCTACTTCTAACTGGCCTAAAGGAATGAAGCGGGCTATAGCATTTAGCACGCTTCTAGCTCATAGGTTGATCTTAACTGGAAAGATTCTCAACCCCCTTCACATGCCCACTGGATTCGAGAAGCGCTTTACAACCTCTAAGTCGAGAAATTAAGGTTTTCTATGGAAGAGGATTGGGGCCACTGAAAAAAAAAAAGAAGTTAACTGATTTTTTACATTTTCTTTTAGTTTAGAATTCTGACTTTAATCTCAGAATTCTGACTTTAATCTCAGAAT